AGGGGGAGAGGGAGGCGGCGGGCGCTGGGGGGGGGCGACAGAGGATATGAGGGGGTTGGCGCTAATATGCTGGAAGTTACTTTGATAACACATAAGGTCTTTTGTGGAATTGTGGAATGACGCAACTTCTTTTTTCTTTTTCTTTTTTATTGCTTTTTTTTCTAGGAAGAACTGTAAGCGAAGTCAACCTCAACACACACACACACACACAGACACACACAAAACAGTGAGGTAGGGAGAGACAGCTGAGCCCATATATCAATTACAACCTGATATCCTGGGAGGATGATGGGACGGAGAGAGAGAAACCCCTGAACGTGTGTGTGTGTCTGTGTGTGTGTCTCAGCGCCCAATCCCCCTGAACGCTCTCTTTTTTTTCATGATCACCTGACGGTGTCTGTGTCCCCCGTGCTTGTGGACAAGCACAGTGATGGACATGGACACGTCTCGGCTTTGGCTCCTTTGGTAGTCCTGTTGTTGTCAGGTTGCTCGACACACCGATCTCAAACTCCTCTGAGACGGACAACAACGCCTAGAGATCCCAATCGGGGAGAAGGGGGGAGGAGTTGGGTGCAGAACGGGGGGGGGATGTGAAAGCTGTTGGGGGGGCTGGTTCATGTGTACTATATGTTAGTCAGGGGAGGGCGGGGGCACATGAATGACAGGGAGCGACGGTAATTCGCTGCCTACTCAAAAGACACATTTTAGTCCGTAGTGACAGTAAGAAAACTGCAGTCAAAGGGAACTTAACTTGATGTCTCAATTGAACTTTAAATTAGTCGAATGGATATCAAACAGAAGTCTGATCACATAATTAAGAATAACAGAAACACAAGTACTACCAAAGATAGATTAGCTTTATTTGACCGCACTGGCAGCCAATCACTGCCTGCCTTTCGAGACAGAAAGTCAAGTGGCTCCATTGCCTCTCAAATAGTTTCACTTAACATCGGTTACGTGAAATCAATGAGAAGTACAGACGGAAAAAAAAGAGCCGAAATGAAGGAGGTTGTTAAGACAGTTTCTTTCATATAGTGCTTCTGCCTCGGAGCGTGAGGGGCTTTGATTTCTATTTACTTTGTAGTGAGAGATATCGCAAGAAATGTTCCCTCTCCTTAAGAATCACTGATCATCCAATAAGTTGAAATAAAGCGGGCTTGTCACATGCTCCCTCTCTCTCTGTCTCTCTCTCTCTCACCCTCTCTCTCTCTCCCTTGTCGTCTTTATCGTGGTGATCAGTCAAACACTCACCTAACACAAGCCGTCTCTGGTTTCCACCTCCCAGGTTTTTCCCTGCGTTGCCGCCGCTGATGTAGCGGAGGTTATATGGTGTTAAACACAGAGCTGCTAAACGTTCCCCAAGGTAATAACCGTCAGTGTATATACAGTGCTGTGCAGTGCCGCGACGGGAAGTTGCTGCCAAGTGGGGAAGCAATGGAGATGGAGAGAAAGAGGGCGCGAGGGGAGGGTGGAAGTGGAAGAAAGGAAATCAAATAATTAGCAGACAAAGAGGTGAAAAGGGGAGAAACAAAGGGCGGAAGGGAAGATGGGTACTTGCTAAACCAGAGGTATAAATAAAGACAACGAGAAGTGATACCGTCGTGACGCCGTTACATGCTGGTTGGAGAATTAGCGCAGGTGCAAGCACTGTGGTTATAATTACACGGGTTTTAATCCAGCCTTGAGTCATGTCTGCCCATTCATCTAATTAGCCGATGTGATTTCACTTCACTTTTGGGGTCAGTTGAGGGAGAAAATTATTTCTGGTCCTTGAAAATAATACTTTGCCAAAGTAACCTTGACTAAAGTTCCACTTACTAGCTTTGGTGAAGGTTTCAACCCACACTCTCAGGGTCTTCCCCAGCAAATTGAAGCCTGTTCATGGAGTTTTTTTCGTACCGTTCGCTGACGTCATCGACCACGAGTCAGCGGACGGCCAGAGATGGTTTATGATGCCATAAACTATGCTTGGGCAGAGACGGAGATTGCGATTGAAAGTTCTGATGAAAAAAAAAAGCTAGTAAGTGGACCTTGAGTTAAGATATGTTTTGTCAAATACATTCACTTTGATTAAATAATGGTTGACAAAAGGTCAAAGCATGGCTCCGCAGCATCCTCCCTTCACAGTGACCAATCCCTGCTTGTATGCATTGCTTATGCAGGTTGTTTAATGAAGTGCCATAAACTGATGGAAAGAAGGAAAGAGTCTCTCACCCTAAATGAACAACGTGTAAAAATATGTGTTAATATATTTGAATAAAGGGAAGCAATGGCATATCAAGGAAGAAGAAAGTCAAAAGTGATATGGATGCTGTGGGAGGGGGAAATTGCCCTTCAATCCAATCCCCCCCCCCCTTCTCCAGGAGGCCAAATCCAGGCCATGTCTAAGATTTCACAACGATTAGCGAGGGAGGGATGAGGAGGGATATAGAGATGTACTAGAGCAGCATTGGTCGTTAATCACTAAGGGGGGGGGGGGGGGAGTGATGAAGAGAGAGGACTGCCCTAGCATGGCTCAGCATGGGACTTGTACTTTTGCTGTCTGGACCTCCTTGCGTTTGACTGCGGAGCAGTGGCTCAGTAGCGGTGGAGGAGCTTCCTGATCCTGGGCCGTCGGCGAGGAGTCAGTGATTCAAGACCGAAATGTATAAATAACATAAAACCTCATCGTATCAATTCATTGCCAAAATGAGACATTTCTCTGTGTATGGTGTATTTTGCAGCGGAATTGCATTTAATCATGTTTATAATTGAACAGAATGTAACGTTTGCATTGCTGAGTATTGTGTGTGTAATGACAGCTGGCGTTTAAGTTTTCTAATCTAGATAAAAGAGAATACTGGATATCGCTACTCTACTACAGTATTTCTTTCTTCCTCTTCAACATGCAACTCAACTGCTCTGTACATGAAGTCTGGGAATGAATGTTGTTCTTACACATTCCAAAAGACTTGATAATTCATGATGAACCATCTTATGATAAAATGCTTTCTGATTTGCAGCGGCTATAGTGACGAGTTTTATGGTTTTATAGTCAGGAAAAGAATGTGGGCATGGTTAAAAGAAAGCAACGTTGACGGTTGGTGAAAAAAAAAAAAGAACAAAGACACAAAGTCAAAGTGGCACGCTTGGTTGAGCAAACCATTGACCCGACCTCCTTCCGAAGAGGTGTTGTGGTTAAGTCACGCTACTTCAACTTTTTGCTTCTGAGAGAAAATGATTACTCAAATGGCGACAAGAGTTTCGCTCGTCAGGGAAATGTAAATGTACATTTTACTGTAAATTGACATTACTGGGTCCACTTACTAACACGTGACCAAATATCAAGTAAATGACACGCATACCTCACATGAAACAATTACAATCTCACAATTACCTCACAATTAAACCGTCTCCATGACTGAACAATTCCATCCTCTGAGGAAGGCCATTAAATGTGGCTGAAAGCTTGAGAAACACTACATCAGTGGAACACAGGACAATCAACACATTCCCAACTTGACTTTTGGTTAAGCGCAGGACAAAACGCTGGAAAATACTCCCAGTTTTCAGTCTCCAATACCAATGTTTTCTTTTAAAAAAAATTGATACTAAAATATCATGAATAAGAAAAATAACTAAATACACAATCGGTTTTGAATACTGTGGTAATAGATATCAGGAAGTCATATAAGTACTGATATCACATAACAGGGATTGGAGCAGTGACAGAGGACTAACAGGGAATGGTTTGACCATTTAAATGTTAGCCTGGCTATTGCTTTGCTTTCACACACACTTATCTTTTGAGCTAGACCTTCCATGTGCAGATAAAAAAGTGTGGGAGTTTTGCTGGGGAACGGTTTCCACTTGTGTGCGACGTAATCAGTACTACCAGCCGTGTCATATTCTACTGTGGAGCGTATACATACGTATAAGGAGCAGCCAAACACCACCACCCCACCTCTTCCATCAGTGTGGTGGGAAGGTGAAACAGGGTGAGCATGAAGACGGAATGGCCTTCAGTTAGCATTCTATCGACACCCACGCCACCCCCCACCCATTCCTCTCTTCTTATTTTTTTTATTTTTTTTTTTCTGTACTATGAATAAATTTAGTCTGTCCCGGACATGAAAATGTCAAATACCTAAAATACACCTAGGCTAAATAGCATATTAATTTTTAATGCCTGCTCATCCTATGCTGCTATTCTCATATCAGGCCTGTCTGCCAACAGCTGTTGCTGGCTCTCTGGCTGGGAATTTATCATCCATCTAGCTAAAGTAGGGGAGAGAGGGGAAGAATAAAAAAAAAGATGGGAGACATTGTTCGGAAGACAAGGGAAAAAGGGGAGGGAAGGATCCGTGTTTTCATGGATCCCTACCTCGTATTTATATCACCAACCACCTCGCAACTTTCTTACTTTGATATACGAGTGGGATTCAATTACACTAATGCCAAACATAAATTGTTCTAAATCCCCCCCCCCCTCCTTCGCAGCGTGTTGTCGCGCGAGTCTCCTCATACATAAAAGAGAAATAAGGAGCAGAGTGGTGACATTGACGCTGGAGGTAGTGACATTGGGGAGAGCGGCAGAGGGAGGCGAGATGCACTGAAGCAATGTGCCAGTGTGGGTGTTGAATGCCACCCATGTGCGTTTTTAGGTGGCATGTGGTGGATGATTATCATAGATTATCACAATCCAGATTGTTACAAGTTCTGTCTGCGCACATAGCAGCAGTGTACTGTAGCCGTGTGACTGTCTGCGTGTGTGTGTGTGTGTGTGTTTTGGTTTAAGACAGAGTGCCTTTGGGGATAAGACTAAATGGTGAGCGAATGACGAACAGTTGGAGTGTGTGAGCGTATGTGTGCATTTACTGGTGTGTATGTGCCTTGTTGTTTTTATGGTCACAGTGTGAGAAGCAAATACCGTGCAGGGTTTGGGGAAAAATGTGGTAGAATCGTCAAAGTTGAAGACATTTTGCTACTGGGGTTGAGGTGTCAATCGCTCGTGGGCTTACCTTAACACACCAACTGCATACTGGAGTGCAACCCGTTTGTTAGGATCAAGTGGCCCCTCGCCGTCACTCCTGACTGACTACTGCTTACTGGAATGGCCACCTAGAGGGAGAAACGGAGGAGTGGAGAGAAAGAAAAAGATTAGAAGAGGAGGCGATGATGAAATATAGACCTGAAGGAGGAAGACGGACGGGGGGGGGGGACGGCGGGCTGGCGGAGGGGACAGTGATGGGGGGCGAGGAGGAAGAAGATGAGGTGGGGGAGGGAGGGGGTGGGTGTCCATGCCAAGATGAAGATCTAACAAATTCAGCGGGGGCGACGCTGCAGAGGTCAAGGGAGCACAGTCGAAAAAGGTTAAAGATGAAATCAAAGCCAGCGGGCGCGCCGCGGTGCCCGGAGGCACAGCTGAAAATCTATCCCTCCAGGGCAAGGCCACTGCTGACACGAGGCAGACAAGAAGCTAAATACTGCACGCCACTCGGGGATCTTTCATTTTCAGACGATCAATAAGGGCTTATATTTATCAGGGCCTCCAAGCAGCTGCCAACGTCTGACAACCTCCACTTCATTTTTGCACTCCTCCTCCTCCTCCTCCTCCTCTCTCTTCTCTTCTCTTCCTCCTCCTCCTCGCACGCTAAATTGAGACCCATCGACCATGAAAAGGGGCAGAGACCCTGGATTGCCATTAACCCCCCTCGTGTCACTAGACTGTCTAGCACGCGCGCGCACGCACGCACACACACACACACACACACAAATGCCCTGGAGATACAATTCGGCTGAAGGTCTGTCTCCCCCCCTTCTTTAAAGAAACATGCCTTATCATTATGGCCTTGGCACAGACACCGGCACCTCTTCATGTCTTTTGTTCCTCAAGCTGCCCATGCCACCCAAGACATACACACACACACATACACGTACACACACACACACACACATAGACAATATGCCACAACCTGTTTTCACTTTTAATTTCCACCATTTGGAAGCACGTCTTTCTTGCCAAATTTATTTCAAATAACAAAAATATCAAATCCCAAATTACCGCCCATAAATCTAAGGAGCATTACGAGAAGCGGAAGATTGGGTTTAGGGGGTCTGAGTTAAAATAACTGGCAGTCTAATCATCTGCACAACAATATTTGCTGTGAGGCATTCTAAATAGATTATCGCTAGTCCATCTGTGTCATCATTGATTTATAAGGCATTAAGCTGCTTGGGGAAGAGAGAGGCCTTGCCTTCTCTGCTGTTAAAGGGGCTTCTTGTCGAAATCAGGGGCACGGCAATGGAACAACTGTGGCAACTCGTCTAACCTCCCCTTTAATCGTCAGGCGAGAGGAAGTGAAAATAGGACGGGAGTATCTGGTAGTTTTTTTTTTCCCAAAAAGGGAAGTATGAATCCAAATTTTCTGCATCTCTTTTTGTTTGGCGATACAAAGAAACTGGGAGGAGGGGAGGAAGTACAGGAAAAAAAATACACACAGAGAGAAACAAACAGCGCACACAAACACACATGCACATATGCAGAAAAAAAAAACAAAAAAAAAAAACAAGGGACATCATTAACATATGAATGCTATATGCAAATGGTAGGGAGAGAGCAGATGTTGTTGCATTTAATTGACCTATATGTGAATTGCATCCAAACCTTTCAGTGTGTTTTTTCTGGGCCCGCTACAGTTTTGACTGGCTTTCTGGTAACACTCAACATATGAGTTTTGAGCGATTTTAGTGGTGTTCGAACATAAAGAGGAGCACGACTAAAATTAGAATAGAGCAGAATTGTGGGAAGAAACTGTCTTTGCTGAAAAATTGCGAAAACACATCGTTTGTCCCTGATTCTTTCCTCACAGGTGACATCTCTGCCAAAGCTCATTGTACTGTGCTTACTAACAGGTGGTGGTGGAAAGCACATTTACTCAAGGACTGTATTGGAGTACAATTTTGAGGTACTTTAGGTAGAGGGAACTACTGTACTTTGTACGCTACTCCATCTATTTGACAGCTATGGTTACTTTGGAGATTCATATTTGACATAAAATCATATGACAAGCTAATAAAATTAATATTTTGTTACAGAGCGCCACCACAAACAACCGACAACATTGAAATGTTGCTTACATGTGAGTAAAATTAAATGAATAATTTAATTTGCTGTATATAGCACTGTGTCGCTGAAAGGGGGACATTGTTTTTAATATGTGTTCTCACTTAAGTTTAAGCTAGGATTCTTAAAATTTCAGTCCTGGTTGATTTTGTAGTACCTTTGGTTACTGGTAGTAATGGCAGCAGCCGTGTGTTTTATTTCTTAGGCAGGTCCCATCAACCCTGTTTCCTAATTACTAGCTCTAAAATCAGGCGGCAACAACCGGGTCTGAAAAGTGAAGCCAATGCGGAAGTGCCTTACACTTGCATTCTCTCTACTGACCAGCAGGGGGCGACTCCTCCGGTTGTAAAAAGAAGTCAGACTGTATAGAAGTCTATGAGAAAATGACTCTACTTCTCTCTTGATTTATTACCTCAGTAAACATTGTAAACATGAGTTTATGGTCTCAATCTCTAGTTTCAAGTCTTCTTCAATACAGCATGATGTTCATTTAGTAAATTATGGTCCCTTGTACAGTAAAAATAGAGTAAAAGCAGTAAAAGCAGGGTATGCTTTGGGGGGGGGGGGGGGGGGGGG